AAACTTGAAAAAATAAGTAGTGATAACGTTTTTTGTTATGTTTTGTGTAAATTCGCAGACGCTCATCCACAAAAATGTAAAATGTGTAAACAACATTTGAGTAATAGGAAATTTATACACAAAAAAACTTAAAACCTTAAATTTTTTTATGATTTTTGAAAATTTTTCATAAATAAAACAAAATGGTCGGAAAAAATATTCAAATAATAATGTAAAAAAATAAAAGCCATAATAAGACTCGGCTTACTTTACACAAGATTTTATTTTTTCTAATAACTTTTTTGTAATTTTATAACAATTTTTTTTAATCAAACAGAGTAAAATAGATATTTATTTTTCGGAATTTAGAGACTAATTGGATTTTATATACTACGCAATTCAAAAGAATTAAAGCTGTTATATGGATCAATAAAAACACAACATTTGAAGTGATGATAAAATATTAATTAGATTTACTGTTGATAAAAAAATATTAAAATAAAATTAAAAACTATATTTGAAACTTTAAAAGACAAACTTGAAAAAATTTAACACTATTTATACATAATAAATGTTTAAATTTACTTTTCATTAAAATTTTATTTCACATCTCAACATTAACAACTATACTTAAGCATCCGGTTGTTTTAAATATCAAAAAACTGTAAAAGAAAATACAAAAATATCGAAAATAAAAGCATTATTTTCCTGTAAATCCTGAAATTTCAGTTTGGTAAAAAAACAAATAGGTAAATAATAATTTGTCAAGACAAGACTTGAAAAAATAAGTAGCGATAACGTTTTTAAAATTATTTTCCTTATTATTGCATTGTGTTAAAATACATATTTAATTAAGTACATTTATCGATATTTTTGCACTAATGGTTAAAACAGCAATTAACGAAAAAATTACCATTTTCTTTTGAAAAACATTTTGATATTCCCTGCCTTATTCCCTACATTCTGCTTTTAGCAGGATGGTGTGGCAGAGCAGGGCTATTCTTGGAGGTGGTGGGGCCTCACCCGGTAAGGAGTCCACGTAAACTGATAGCACCTCCGTAGTTGTTTCGTTAGTCGCTCTGATACCTCGTGTCGTGACTGCTGGTACAGGGAACTCCTAGTTAAGACCTTCGGTAAGTCTTTTTTTTCAAAAATATACCACAGACATACACTCCACTCCCATCGAGAAAATATCAGGAAAAGAGACAGTTTTCTCAAAAAAATTTAAAAAAACCTGAGACGATTATTTTTAAACTGGATCCAATTATTGCATCAATTTCAGCGGCCAATTTCACCATATTTGGGCATGTATTACAAGGTCGCCATTTATTGTTGATGCTGGAATTAAAATAAATTTTCCGAAAATTTATTGTTTATATTGCCCAATAAGACAATGTTTATATTTTTTTCTGGAATGTATAACATCCGCGATTTTTGCCACCAATAAAAATAAATACAGTAACCTTCGCAAAGTCACGATTAATTAAACATCGAAATATTTTACTTGTGACACACCGTATATGCGAAAAACTTGAAAGAAATGATTTCATTCCATATTTTCTTATCTCGATGGATGAATCACCCACGACCATATGGTCGCACGCACTTGACCCAAACCCAGCAATTATATGGAAGAAATGTCTTCAATTTTCAATCTAGTTACGCCAGTGACCATGAGAAACGTGCATGAGAAATTTCCCGTCACACTTTTCTGATCCAAATTTGAATTTTCCAGCGCGTAAGATAAAAAAAATCCGCCACCATGGACGCGATCAAGAAGAAAATGCAAGCGATGAAGCTTGAAAAGGACAACGCTTTGGACAGGGCCATCTTCAATGAACAACAAGCCAAGGATGCCAATCTTCGCGCCGAGAAAGTAATTTTTTTCGAAATATTTTAAGTTTTTTCACTAAATGTTGGTATTACAGCTTGAAGAGGAAGCTCGCACTCTTCAAAAGAAGATCCAAACTATTGAAAACGAGCTTGACCAGACCCAAGAACAACTCACCCAAGTTAATGGAAAGTTGGAAGAGAAGGAAAAGGCCCTCCAAACTGTAAGTTGTTTTTTATTTGTTACTTTAGTGAAATTTTATTGCCAACATTGTGATTGTTGGCAACGTGTGGCCATCTATTTTGGCAATGTTTATAATTACATCCTGAAATAAACGCACACAGGAACCACCCGTACGTCAATGAATGATGGATGTTTCAGTTTTACCAAACTGAGGAATGGAAATTTTCAACAAAATTAATTTTTTGTAACAATTTATTACACTTGTGATCCTCATTTGTTTCCTTTTAAGTCACACATAGTTTACATTCAAGACACGAAGTTGCTTAAATTGTTAACAAACAAAGTAACCTTATATACACACAATTTCAATTGTTAAAAAAGCAATGTTTATTTTTCATTTAACTTAATAAAAGCCCACTACGAAAAATATTTTCTCCGGTGTAATTTCGGTTGTCTATCTGTCACATATATTTGACAGTTTGCACTATATAGTCAAAAACTGACAACACTTGGGAAAAGAAATTTAAAAAATTGACATTATTACTACCTAACTCAAATTGACACTTAATGACAATTGTTTTTTTTTGTAACATGCGTTCATTAAAAAAACTTGAGTGCTTTGACAAGTATCTTGCACGTCTTTGATTAGTTCATTTATCCACTGTCAAGATGACAGATTAAAACTCATTAGTGTAAGATACATACAACGACATACGTTTCCCTATTTTTTTTTTTTAAATGAACTCATCTTATTTTAGTAATCACGAAAAATAAATTAGCACAAATTATTTGTTATTTTAAAGTTTTAGTGTTTGAAAAATAAGGAATATCGCAGATAAATGATTTTCGTAAAATCAGCCACAGGTTCATGACGTAGAGGAAATTTCGGATAAAATTTTCGTGAATAAGAGTTTTGATAACACGAAATTTATTGGTTAGTAAATGATTTTATAAAGAAGAGAATTGGTGAACACAGAGGTTATACTTGCAAACTCACCCTTTGATAGTAACGACCCTTTCAGAGGTCTCCAAAATTATTGTTTTAAGAAAATTAATTTCGATCTGAAAAAGCAAAATGTTTTAACGAAAAAATTTTTTATTTTTTATCGAATAAAACTGACTAATCAGATTTTTTGCAAACTCACCCTTTAACTTAGCCACAACCCTTTTTCGAAATTACTTAATTTTGAAGAATTCTGAGAAAGCAAAACGCTTTACAGAAAAGAATTTCTTATCTTTTGTTAAATAAATCTGACTAATCAGATTTTCTTGCAAACTCACTGTCGTTTTTAATAAGTTGCTTATAATCGCTATTGTTTACTCACTCGCTTCGCTTGTTCTGTTTAATACCATTTATTATTTGTTTATTTATTATTGCTGAAAAATTTTTGTCTTTTTTACACTTGCGGAATTTTTGTCTAAAATTACATAAAAACAGACTTGAAAGTCCACCACTTGAATTTTGAAAATTCTGATGGTTTTGACCAAAAATATTACATTATAAATTATACGTATTTTAAGTATTTTTTGAAATTTTATATTTAAAAAAACTTGTGTCATTTTTATTATATTCATGAAAATTTGCTCTCCATTATTAATCACATTTTCAGTTAGGACATACAAGGTGTTAAAAAAAGATTGTATAATATTTCAGGAGATAATAGTATGGACCAAAACAAACAAAAAAGTCTAAATATACTCCGCAAAATAACGGTTTCGGAGATATGGAAAATTATTCGTTTTTTGAAATATTTATTTACAAATTGTTCAAACAAAGAAGAGAAGCTTCTAGTAAAAATTCTAAAAATTTTCACATTCGACATCTCGGACTTTGCGGACTCATGTTTATTAAGACTTTTTTGTTTATTTTGATCTATACTACTGCCTCCTTAAATATGTTACAATCTTTTTTTAACATCCTGTATACTTACCTAGTAGTAATTTTGATTTTTAAATTTTGAGTAAACTATTTTCCAAATTTTTAAGATTTAAGTGAATATTTTAATTTCATTTTATAATAATATGCACTTATACAAAATATTCTGCATTTTTCTTTCAAGGTCACACTAAAAAAATGATGAAACATGATATTTATTAGAAAAATCTTCATAAAACGGCAAGTTGAAAAAAAATTAATGAAAATTTCTATTATGTAAATGTTGTTTAAATTCTATCAACGTCAATAAATTTTATTTTAAAATGTTAAAAATGTACAAGTAATGTCAAATTTGTACTTTTTTACTTGACCAAATTTTATATTTGGTAAAGGGAAAATCGATACTTGAAAAAAAAACTTGAAAGTTCTGTTTAAAAAATTGTTTTAAAATGTCTTACAAGATGACACACTTGAAACGTTATTTTTATGTATTTAAGATTATTTATTAAATAATGAATATTTCACTATAATGGCAACATTAGATGTACAATTAACTCGCTATAATATGTCATTCTTATGACATTTGTCACGTGTTTGTTAAAAACCAATAGAAAAAATGCACAGACTTTTAGATATTTTCTTAAATGGGAATGTGAATGAGAATTCACGTGACCAGTCACCAAAATGAAATTATTTAAAAATTTTAGTATTATTAGCAAATAGGTCGACTACAATTTCCTAGTTTTTAAAAAGAATAATAAAAAGAAGAGTTTGTGCGATTTATATCCAGAAATAGCGTGACTGGCATCTTAAAATACCACTCGCCTGTCCTACATTTATTACCGTAATAAAAAACGAAAACTCCACCATCGAATCCGGTGAAACCCCCAAAAACTGCGTCTCAAGACTTGCACTTGCAATTTTCCTCAAACCGTCTCAAATATCTAAAAAACTCTTTCACGTGACCTTTGAAAATTTCCATCGTCGAAGCGGGGGCCTCGGTTCTAAAAATATCGCGAACTCGATACGTTTCCAAATATGGCGCGTTGGCCCCCACGTGACGTCACCGCCGCCATATTGTCGGTGTATTGTTGGTTGCGTGCATCCTCCGATGGCGCCACGATCGGTATTTTCATTTAGTACACCTAGTGCAACCAAAATGGCTGCGTCGCAATTTCATGTGTTGAAATCCCCCAAGTGACGATGTCTCAAAGGGCCGGCCCGGGCAATCCGAGGAAAAGGGGCCATCAACATCATCCTCGCAATGACAGCACCAGAAGGAGGGCCGCCCTAGAGCACACCCCCAATGACCCACTAGCAACGGAAAGTGCCTCAAAAGCCCCATGTGATACCCCATGTGATGTAGAAATTAAGAGTCTCAAAGATGAACAAAACGAAAAAATACGAGTCGAGGACATGTCGACGGTGTTCCGCCCCGCCGCCGAGGGGTCCAGCCAGAGCGACCAGGAGGAGGTGGACCCCGAGATCGAGGAGTTGGCAAGACTGCGCTGCACGTCGGAGAGGACGGAAGTCGTCGCCGAGAGGGAGACCAGGAGGAGAGGCAGGAGATGTGCAGACTATCCAGGGTTGGCCTTCGCCAGTTCCATCTTCAGTTCAGACACCCTCATCAAGTTTTCCATCATCAGGAATGAGCTGCACAACATTATGAACACGCAGTTGAAAAGGGTAGGTCAGGGGGGGCCAACAACTGGGAGTGCCCCCACTTTCACGTTTCAGTGGAAAAGGAGTCAAAAAACGCCTAATTTAGTTCATTTTATGGTCTACCGCAAATCCAACGGGACTATTATTGGGCCCAATTGGATTACAATGACAAATAAAAACTAATCAAATTCTTTAAATGCGTTTCATAAACATGCGTCACATTAAGAATTTATGATAAAGAGCGATATGGAAGTTTACTTATCACACATGAAGACTTTGTAACACATAAATATGTATGATTTGGTAGAAAATTTTATCTTGTGGTAATCGGGGGTTATTACCACTTAATTCAAATAAACTGAAGAGGGAAGTCGGGTGCAGTGTTTGTCTTATGGTTCATTCACTGATTATTTTAAGAAAGTTTTTGAAACACAGTTTAGACTTTAAGCGTTTGTTCTAAAACAAATCAAAATTTAAAAATCAAAACTGAAAAAATTGTACAGTCGAACAAAGTGAAAATGACGCTTCAATAAACCAGCCCCTCCGACCCTTCTAACCGCAAGCAGGCAGGATCGTAAATTATATTAAATTATCCAAACTGGTTTACAGAAAGCGAAATGAAAATTTAGTTCACAATTATTAAACTAATTGGAATTAAGTCGCCATTTGTTTTGCATTGACAAAAGTCAAGTTAAATGAAAATGTAATTTTTTTAATGAAAAATTTAACAAATCATTATTTATTTAATACAGAGTGGTTATAAATGATTTTCATCTAGCCAGCTTTGGAATTTTTTGCATGTAAGTTTTATTTGTGTCGCTCTACTTTTTTGAAAGCTCTAGTTGTCATTAGTGTCACTTATTAATTAATATTAAATTGTTGTTAATTAAACTTTTATTGTTTCAACTAATTTCCAATAATAATTGATAAGAATGTATACTTTGGAAGAAAACAAGTGTATAATTGAAGTCTATTTTCGAAGTGGACGCTTATTAAACGGCGATTTTTTAATTTTGAGTTAAAACAAGTAGGTACCCCTATTTTCGTAAAGCGGCATGTTTTATTTTACATGGAAAATTCAAAGCTGGCTAGATGAAAATCATTTATAACCACTTTGTATCTTTTAACTGTTTCAAAATAAAATTATTTTATAAATTATTTATTTTGATTTTATGTAAAATGCACAAAAATTATGTTACTTAATTGTTTTACTACGTTTCAACACAAATTAAAAAAAACACGGCAAGATCTCACAGATAATTGAAATAAATACAATCTTAGCTGGATTAAGATATAGCAATGATAATTCAAAAGAAATAAGTCGATTTTTTACATAACTACTAAAGTTTTTTTTTAATTAATTAATTAACAGTTTTTTCAAAATTTTATTTCAACGAATAAGTTTAATTTTATTTGGTGAGAGCTAGGGGATATTTTTGGTTGCTTTCCCCCATCATAGTTGCTGAGTCACTCATTGTTACATTAAATCAGATTGGTTGTATATTGACAGTTGTCACGAGTCACGTGACCCACATTCACAACAAAGAAATGTATGTGATTGGAATTTAAAGGTCATTTGACTACCCCAAAAGGTTTAAATAAGCGTCAAATTATGTTGAAAGATTTTCAAACTTGGCTGGATACGTGCCTTTCTCTTTTTATATTTGGAATAAAAAAAATAATAATTCTTCTGTAAATGTTATTATCGCAATTGCTTTATTATTTGCACAGTTTATAAAACAATTTTTATCAGGGTCAGTAAACATTTTATACAAGTTTACAATATTGTCATGTTGTCAATCCTTCTAAATAATCAATTACTAAAGAGTACTCGTATCTGCATATTGGTTAAAAAAATTATGTTACAAGTCAAACATTGTTATTAAAACCCGTCAAAACTGTCAAACCAGCTTGCGATAAACAATTGGGTTAAAAATAATTGAAATAACTTATGGGAACAATTACAGTCATAAAGTCTTGCTTTTTATCACTTATTATCGGGCAGTAAAAGCGGTAATAATGGAATAACATATTATGCAACTTAATTCAAGATTTTGAACACCACTGAGAAAATTCTGTATTAAATTGTTAATTTAAAAACTGATGTTAACTCATGATAAGAAAAAACATGAGACCTATTTGTATGTATTGTCGTATCGACAAGAAATTACTCCCTAGGATTTAGGGATTTTCGTGAATATGTTGCCACAAATTTGGTTAGGTTGGTTTTTGGTGACAAACAAAATATATCGTAACCAGTGTCAAAATTTAGGTTAAGTCATCTGTCAGCTTGTATGGATAATTCAGTTGATAGTTGACAGCAGGTTGCTTAGGGGTAACTAACCCTAAACATTCAAAATTACTTCTAAAAATTCTAGTTACATACAACATGAAAAACGTAATTTTCCTAAAAGTTCAAATGTGGTAATTTCTTGTTGACAAATCTGTTTTTGTTTTATGTACAGTACGATTAAAAAAAAAGTCATTCTATCAAGGAAACGTTGAAATTTAGAACGTGTGTCTGGAAGATAAAATGTCCCAATGACAAATGAGAAATGTCAAAATAATTTTTATGTAAACTGTGGTGAACGATTTGTATGAAAAAACAACAATATATACTTTTAGGATGTTTGGAGATATGTCCTAGAATCATTCAATTTGTATTTTAACTTTTATAAAATATTTTTTTGACGAGTAGTTAACATACAAACTGTCGAACGAAAATTTTCGTTTTGAAAAATTTTTACGCGCCATTTTTTGCACTAAGCCAGCTATTGTTTTAATGATTTTTACTTTCAACTGCTGAGAATATACACGGTGATTCAAAATGAACCACTGCTTAATAAAAAATAAAAAAAATGTTTTTTACTTCATATTTTTCAAAATATAAATGTTTAAACATGGCACACTTTGTGCTCTCTGAAGAGCAATATCTACTTAAAGAAAGTTTGTACAGCACAATTTTTAGAGTAACTAAATTGTTCTAAAACTACCTAGGTTATTGTACGATCTTTTTGAATCACCTTGTATGTCATACATTCTATTAAATTTCTAATCCAAGTGGCCACTGATTTTGAAATCAAGTTGGCAATATTGAATTGTAGCAGTGGTAGAGACGAAGATATGAAAATTCACATGATAAAAAATAATTATGTAAGTGGAACATTTTTAGGTACGGTATGTTGACTTAAACTTTGACATTTTTGATTAGATACCTATTTAACAATTTTTTAAACCAGTTGAAGTATTTTACATTTCTGCTTGTTTTATGTTATTTTTCCTGTTTTTCCAGCCCGTTATCTCATAACCGTCTTCACACCCTACTTTACATTTTCTGATAATCGCGATTTTGCTTTGCGGTTGTTTTTTTTTAGGTCATTTCCTACTTTACTGTTGCAAAAATGTTGTCATTCACCTAAATAACCGACAAGTATTTAACACTGCACCAGTAATAACAATAACAATAGAAATATTTGAATATTTTTAAGCTGACTCATACAGGGCACACCTCCATAAAACATTGGTTAAATTTAAGAAAGATTTTACGCCTTTTTTTAAAGAAATAATCAATTGATTTACGCCCAATGACGTGTTACGCCATGTTCTTTATTTGATTGGCTAGTTTGTAAGAAAAAAACCGACTTATCTGTTTACACTGTTAAGAGATTTATAACGTTTACATAATTCATCGAATTCCATGACCTTATAGCGCAATCGCATTGATGCCTTATATGTAAACGAGGCACCAAATGTCCGATTTCCCATCGTTCCACACCCATTTCCGCCTTTTTTTTAAATTCGAATTTGTCTCGTAACAATCAACAATCGATTTCCGTTTCGTGGATTCAAATCGTTGGTACTTTTCGAGACAGGTGGTTGGTACGCGTGAGTCAGCGCCATCTTGCCGGCTCGCCCAGTTGTTCTAAGTCGGTGTCGGTGCGTGGTAATCGGGATCGGTGTTGGTGGTTTAATTCGTAATTTTGTTGAAAAAAATCGAAAAAATGACGACGAATATACAACAGGGATCTTTATTAGACGTGCTTAAGAAAAAAATGAGACAAACTAAGGAGGAAATGGAGCGTTACAAGGACGACTGCGAGGAATATAACAAACGACTTCAAGCGGAATGTATGCGACGAGAGGAAGTAAGCATAACGGACCTTTTTCACATTTTTTGGCAAAAATTTAATGAGATTAACCGGTTTTTGCGAGGAAAATCGCGAAATTTTGGGGATTTTGACACGAGAGCAGAGGCGACTCTGATCGATATGCAACTGATGACGAAGTCACGAAAAGTAACTCAAGTGGTTATAAAATAACCTATTATGTCATCCGTACTAATTGTCTTGCAATTTTCTTACCGTTGATCAACTCCCACGTGGTAACTTTCATTTTTTAACGGTTTGGTTTAATTTAATTTGACAATGTTTTAATCGAGTAGGCCAGATTTTTGTTACGACGGTTATTGGTTGGAATGTGAATGACGTTATGGTGACTGATCTTTATTTATTTATTTTTTAGCTGACTTGATTTTATAAAGTTGTTTATTTTAACTCAATATTGGAATTGAAATCTATATATCGAAACTGATGCTGTCATATTATAAGTAATCTTGTCAATGTCGGCTGGTTAATTACAAGTATTATAAACCTGCCTATAGTATTACCAATTTTGGTGATATTGGAGATAATATTTTTTATTTACGTATTGGTATTAATAGTGTCGGAAACTATTTTTTTGTCTTTTAAGTTGTATCATAATGTCACTTTACAAGATAACATTTAATGCCCAATATTTGCTTAATTTATTTTGCTATCTTCCGAAAGATAATGTTGCATTTTGCTGTTTATTTATTTGACATTTCCCAACATATTTACTTAAAAAAAAAAAAAACAAATTATGAAGTTAAAAAATATTCAGAAATTAATACAGTGCGATCAAAAAGTCTTTCTGTCAAGTAGGCGTCCTAGTTGAGGACGTATGTTGCATGACAGTTCGTATGTTATCTAGATGTCAAAAAATTATTTTATAAAAATTAAAACAGTAAGCTAATTAAAATGAATTATTCTATGAAACGTCTCAAAACATAAAATGAGATTTCGTTGGTGTTTATTCATAAAAATTGTTCGCCACGGTTTCCTGTCATAATTTACATAAAAATTATTTTGACATTTCTCATTTGCCATTGTGACATTTTATCTTCCCCAGACATACGTTTTAAATTTCTACGCTTGCTTGATACACAGACTTTTTGATCGCACTGTATTTCAAAAACTCAAATATACAGGCTGTGCCAGAACTCGCGCCCCAGAGAAAATTTTCAAGTAAGGTAAGATACCAGGAACATGAAAAAAATGTTTAAAAAATTTGGCATTTTGCTCTGGGGCGCTAGTTCTGGCGCACCCTGTATAAGAATGTATTTTATGTCGAACTTGCTAAATTAGTTTCCTTTCATATAAGATACTGGTTTTTATCACCTTCAAAGTCTTTTATTGCTAATAATGTTTTACCTCTTAATACACGCTTTCGTAAAAAAATCTGCAGCTTAAAATTTTTCGTATTTTTTGTTGTTATAAGAGTATAAAAGTACATTGGGAAGAAAAACATTTTTTGTCTAAATAATAGGAAATGAAATTTTACATTGTTGAAACGCATATTCAATCTTGGTATTATCTAAAATGCACGTACAAATAAAAGTATACTACATTAAGTATACCATTATTATTATTATTAATTATTATTTATTATTATTACTATTATTCTTTAATTTATTATAGGGACACGCTTACGCACAACCAAGGTCACTGATTTTACACTAGAAAATAGACAAAAGTTGGTGAAACTTGGTGTATTTGTTATAATATTGTTACTCTTTTCGTTTCAAAACATTAATAAGACACCAAAATAGACTTTTTTATTATGCGTTATTTTATTTTCTGAAAACCTCTGAATTATCTTGAAAAAAATGTACTAGATGAACAAAAAGAATGGAACCAAACATTTTCTAATTGGACTATGTATTTTTTGAAAAACTAATTTATAAATGATAAAGGGCCACAAAAATGCGATGACGTTTTGTCTGGAATAAAATTTTTCACAATTTTGTTTTGTTTTGGATTTTTTTATCGCACTTCAATTTTTATTAATTTTCTGGAGGCAATGATAAAATGATATTTTCACTGGCATTTTAAAAACTTCGAAAATTACATTTTTTAAACACCTAAATAATATTTATACAGGGTGTCAGAACTCGCGCCCCAGAGAATAATTTTAAGTAAGATAAAATACCAGGAACTTTGAAAAAATGTTTAAAAAATTTTAGCTGTCAAGAAATTTTGACATCTATTTTTTGACATTTGAAATTTTTTTATGTCGTATTTAATGATACTGATGATCTTGTATATCTTTTTTTTTGATTATTTAATAAAGGTACAAAAATTTTGCCAATAAAAGCCACAAATAACATTGAACAGAGTTACAATTTAGGATACAGCTTCCTTGATTCTTTTTCTAATAGCCTGTAGCAAAAAAAAACTTAAAAAAAAATATATATTTTCAACAGAAATAAATAGTCAAAGTGCAAAATTTAAACTCTCATAACTTCGAAATTTCTATAGATAGAATTTTTTCCATGTTACATGGCATTTTTCTTTGGGGCGCGAGTTTTGGCGCACTCTGTATATTAAAGTAATAGTTATTTACTGTTTATTACTTTTGCCTACAAATCGGGTCGTGATTTTTTGAACATTCCATATAATAAACAATCATTTTTTGCAATTATGAACTTTCAAAAATTGAAAAATTTTAAATACCCCCATAGGTAATTTTTCAACGACATTATAATATTTGAATATTCTGTAAATGTTTGTAGTTGTTTTTCGTACTTTTTTTTAAATTGTAATGAAGTAATTTTGAATACACAGTAATAAACGTTAGTTTTAACATTTATTTGTCTAATTTACAAGTTCTGTTATTGTAGCTTCAGTAAGCAGCGTTTTTATTTTTCTATTTATATTCTTTTTATGATGTATTTAAATATTAATTGCGTTTTGTTCCGGTCAAGACTCTTGTATTCCACACGCTTCGAGAGTAGTAATTGGTGCAGATAATCACATATTTAATTAATTACACGTTGTCAATACACTGAAATTTTTCCTCGATTTATAACACGAAATTATCTTTTCACCTACTCGTTCTAGTCGAATTCCCGTTATACCGAAACAATTACCATGAAAAATACCAAAAGTGAGTCATTTTAATCAAGTCAAGTTTCCATAAAAAGAGTCACTTTCAGACATCTCATACATAATTTACATTTCTGAGAAAATAAGACAAAAAATTTACAAATCACCTTTCAATGACGGTCATCGAACTTTTAAAAATTTTCTGAATGTTTTTGGGTGGAGTTTAAAAAAACTTAAAGTTTGAATGGGAAAAAGAGGATGTGACGGCGTATTTCCTTCCTGTTCTTTTTTGTTGTCAAAGGTACAGGCATTGACGTAACAAATGACTATTGTTTACATTGTTTTCGAGATTAATTCACCACAAAAATTCGACTCGAGAGTCGATAAACGGATGTCAAATAAGTGATTCGTGAGATAGACATCGGGGGGAAAGTGCGTCATTGTATTTTCCGTGGCATAGAAATGAACGAATCATTCATAAATTTGAGGGCAAATGATTAAATATTATGACGTTTTTCTTTCTTTTTTTTCAGGCTGAATCAGAAGTAGCTGCCCTCAACCGTCGTATTCAGTTGCTCGAAGAAGATTTGGAACGTTCAGAAGAGCGTTTGGCCACCGCCACTGCCAAATTGGCCGAAGCTTCCGCCGCTGCCGATGAGAGCGAAAGGTTTGTTTCGAATGAAAAAGGCTTAACGGAAAAATTCACTAACCAATCGGTCAATGCGAAATTCGATTGTAAAAAAATAACTAAATCTTATTTTTATTAATTAAATATTAAAAAAAAAAGAACTTTGAAAGAGGGTGGAAATTTTAAATTTTGCTAAAAACACCCAAGTTCTTCGAATTTGGGAAATTTAAGTTTTAAGGTTGTATTAATAAAAAAAGTAAACTTTTTAACTGAAGTCTGTTTTTCTTTAAATGGAAATGCCAAACAGTCTTAACGTTGGCATCACTAGTACATTCATTCCAAATTTTAATAAAGGAAGTTGGCAGTTCCGCTTTTTTGAATTAATTTGAAAACAATGTCATTAAACGTCAACACAAAAAATCGTCTAAGAAAATTTAAAGACGAAACACCAAAAAAGAGACAAATTCGGTACCGCTAACAGTTTTTCGAAATTTGGAAACGAATAGTTCGCAAGCAGGAAGTTAGAAAAAGGGCCCGTTAAAATGTAGACGCAATTTTGCAGGTTTGGTAAACATTCTTATTTTTTTGCAAAAAAATTGACAAGAATACAAAGTAAACATGAATGAGAAAGAACCTCGGAAAGAACGCAATTAAATTAGTGTCTTGTACATCGTTTTTGAGGAACGAGTTGAAAAAGTAACAATTTTGAAACTAAAGCTGAAAAAGGATTTATAAAATGCATCAACTTCAATAAATTACACAAAATTTATTGCCAATCATCATAATACCCACTTGTATTTTTTGCTAAATGTATATACATCCTTTTTCTTCAAAGTTTTTGTAATTTTTTTCAAAATTATTAGCACTGAATTCTGTCTTTAGACCTTAGGTTATGATGTCTGTCCTCAGGTATTCAATTATAGCGCTTTCAAAGAGCAAACAGAGACACAAGATTCATAAAAGTCAAAATTTTGACAACATCTCAATTTGAACACATAACCATAATTTTTTAACAAAATTTCTAGAGACAAAAACAACGAGCAAACAAAATTTGTGGCTATGGAGACAAGCTGCTACCAATTTTTTCACCAAAATTTTGACTTGGTAATTTCCATTAAAAAAAAAAAACAGACTATATAACATACTTTATTTTTGACATTATTGTAAATACCATTGTTGTTGTTTTAATAATCTGACATTTTTTGAAAAATTTGTGGGTTTTATTGACATAAAAAAAGGTTTTGGGAAAATACAGTGTCTCAGAAATTTTTGAAAAAAATATCTGAATGATTTTACACTATTTTTTATTTAAAAATTGAACTTGATATTTTTTATAATGCATAAATTCTAAATCATAATTGTTGGATTATCAACGATAATGTTTATTTTTTAAGGGTTGATATTCTTTACTTAAAAAAAAACATTCATAAATACAGTGTGACCTATCAGGGAGCTGCACATGTGTGAGTATTATTCTGTTTGCTGCAATGCATATTGATTTTTTTCTCCCACCCACTGTGTTTATTATAAATATTTGCAAGTGAAGCTCCAGGCAGAGATTACGACAAAATAACAATAGAGACAAAATTAAAGAAATAACAGGATTTATACATGAGAAGTTTGAAAGAATAATAAGGTTGCATTAAATAAAATATTTAAGCTTAATAAATACGGAAATCCTTAATTAATACACCGACAGGAAAAAAACATTAAACGTGTACATTTTGAATAGAACTAAACAAGACTATCAAAATGAAAGGTGTTCAATTTGCTTTCTTTTATCCAGTTGAGTGATTTGTTGATATTTTGACAAAAAAAGTACTTTGCTTTATTCAATGATACTTTTTGTTTAAATTGGGAATTAAAATGCAATTTCTCTTCGGAAACAAATAGTTTTGAATGAGTTTTGAGAAAATACGTTTTTTATTTTAAAGTAGGATGAAATTTTGATTACAGAAAGCCTTGATCTTTAATATGCCTAAAATTGAACAATTTTTTTATTTAATCGGAGAAATTATATTTGTAATGAGATAATTGAGTATTTGATAAGTTTGTGACGATAAAACAATTTATATTTCGGGAAGGAGAGAACTTTAGCTGCGCTTATTATTTATTTCTTTCTAACAGGAAATGAAGTGAGGCTTTATTCCCTCGTTTTTGACTAATAATCTGACACTTTTTTCCCTCGGGAATAAAACTGTTGAATTACCGATTTTTCAGTTGCAATTGAATGAACTGAATATTTTAACAAATTGTGTTATTATTAATTTAGTCTGTTGGAAGGACAGTTTTGCATGCATCTCTGGAATAAACATAGTTAATCCCTTTAATGATTCCTGAGGTTTAATTTATAAAGCACCAAACGAATAATAGCAATTCTTTTCTGTGGTGTATGTACTATTTTTTCCACGACTTTTTTTAAAAAACTCAAGAAATTGGCTGTAATTCTTTAACAAAGCTAGTATTCTTTGAAATTACACCATGGCAACAATAAAAATGTTTTTTGACTATGGGTGAATTGGAATGATTTAGTAACGGGACCAAATATTTGACTTCTGTCACAGTTTTGTCATAAGAAAAGTTGATTTCTACTCTTTGTCGTGCAAAAATTATTATTTATTGCTCTGTATTATTATTAATCTTGTCAGATAACTAATTCAGATAACCATTTCAGTAGAGTGCAGCTAGAACTCACCTAAGATTGGAAATAAAACCTTTCACAAATTTATCTACAATTTTTTTTAAGATAATGTTCACTTCTAAACACAGCTCAGCAATCTTATTCTCTGATTCATTTTATTGAGAAAATTTCTTATCTATTTGACTAAGATTTTCCTAATTTGTTCTATGATTTTGGAATAGTCCAAAATTTTTGTCTCTGGAAATCAATGTTTGCAAAAAGTTTCAACAAATAAATATCAATTTTGACAATTTATAGTACATTTGGATCATTTTTGTTATAATTTGTTTTTTTACAGCGTCTCTAATTTATTTATCTATTGTAAATTTATTGGAGTAGTTAGTATGGTTTTATATCGTGAAGTAAAAAATTGAGGACTACTGCAAGTTATTTATTCAGTATCTAAATTTTTGGTTCTAATTAAAAAAAATATTAAAAAACAAAATAATGCGAAAATGCGACGATAATAACATGTGATAATATTTCTGGCAAAAAAAAATTAAAATGAAATATTACAAATAATAAGTAAGAGTAATTAAGTAATAATTGTTTTAATTAATCTTTTAATGGTATTTTTTTAAAGATGCATTTTCAAAAATTTAACAGTTTTTTCTTTAGTTATTTGTTTACTTTATTTATTTCTCAAATTTAAAAATGGGACAAAAATAAAATTAATTGCTAATTAAGAATGAACTAAATTGTTACACAATTTCTGATTAAAATGAATTTTCTTGGAGAGCAGTTTGTGATAATGAATTTCAAAGAAATTTTGTACACCAAAATAAAGTAATGAATGACTTAATATCTATTAAATTTTATCTTAAGTCAACTTTTTTATCAGATATTTAATCTTTTAAACATTTGTTTGTGTAAGTTATTTTAAGCTATTGAACTAATTACGACTGGAATGTAATACTCGTTCCGCTTAAGTACCTAACTGTATTTTTTACCCACAAACAAGTAATTAGCATGTATGTCTATGTATGCAGTTAACGAGATATTCAAGTGTTTTAAATTAAAGTTTTAATGTTTGGTTTTGACTCATTCGTAATTTTTACAATCGAATTTTGGACCGCATCGTGTCAACAATTTTATTAACCAAGCAATCACGCATAGGATACGCAAAGCCTTAGAAAATCGAACCAACATGGAGGATGACAGAGTAGCCATCTTGGAAAACCAATTGTCTCAAGCTAAACTCATAGCCGAAGAAGCCGACAAAAAATACGAAGAGGTACAACCTCCTCTTTTAATAACACCAATTGAAAGTTTCGAAATTTTGTAAAAAATTTCCAGACTTTCGACACAGTTAGGGCTTTAGGGACTGTTAGGTTTTTACAGGCAATCCCGGCACGTGCACCAGATTTTTAATTTAATTTTTTTTTCAAACTGTGTTTTTTGACGATGTTTGATGTAAATTTATTCGTTAGGCAACGCAAGGTTCTCGAGAACCGCTCCCTCGCCGATGAAGAGCGCATGGACGCCCTCGAAAATCAACTGAAGGAAGCCCGATTCTTGGCTGAAGAAGCCGATAAAAAATACGATGAGGTGTATTATAATTTGACTTAGCGTTTTTGCAGTGTTTTACTATGATTTTGAGGCTCTACTAATCAGTGCTACCACAATGAAAGTGTGTTTTGCTAAAAAAATTATTGACACCATGGAACTACACATTTAATTTGATCAGATTTCAATTCGTGAAAAATGTGTCCGAAGTGGTTTTGTGTTTTGTGATCAGTGGTTCTAGAGGTGTGATCCGTCCATAATGCAACGTGGATTTTTTCAAGGGTTAAAGGGGGTTATTTAGTGATTAGAAAAAAAAATGTATAATTGTACATTTATTATGTAATTACTTGTAATTAGTGTTTAATTTTTTTTCTTATTATTACCAAACTTTTCGAATATTGGGAATCAAAATTTTGTGCCTGGAATGTTGTGAACTTTCGAACTGTCATTTTTTTTTTAATACGAACTGAAGAAGAGTGTTTCAAGGCCTCCTTGTGTTTGTGGCTACAGTTAGATGAGTATGTTCCATGGTGATCATGCATGTTTCACCTACTCGCAGATTTTCCACGATTTTTTTAATACAGTATCGATGGAAGACCTGTCTAATAAGTTAGACCTACAATTGTTTAAAAATAATTTTTTTGTGTGACATCCCAACTAAATGTTCCGAAAATTCTCAAACGTTTAGTCTAATTAACATGTTTGGTAATTTTTAAGATGGTAATATTATTCATTTGTTGTTTTTACATTTTGGGGAGGAGTAAAATAGCAATTCGGGATTGCGTTTTTTATTTTTTACCTTCGAAAGTTTGGATTTGTTGTTGTTGTAAACTATGGAGTTAAAATTGTTAGTTTTTCGTCGCCAACGTGGTAGACAAACTTTTGTCTTTTTTTAGTGTAAAAAATAAATATTAAATATTTGGGAGGAGTAAGTAACGGAGGAAACAAATTTTTATTTTAGTTTTTTCGTAAATTTTGTTTCATAAATTTTGATATTTGCTTGAGTATGGTTTTGGTTCAAGGTTTGTTTGAATTCGATTTTTTGGGACCAATTGGGTAAAAGAGAATTAAAATTTTGAGAAAGCATTTTTTTATTAATATCTTTGGAAACCTTTGTTTTTAGTTAATGTTTTTGCTGTTTATTGAGACAATATTAATAATTTTAATTCTTTGGAGGGAATACGGTAGGAATTTATCAATTTAAAATTATTAGTTTTTCCTAGCCAACGAGGTAGACAAATTTATCTGGGAACAATTTCAGTCAAGCTGTATGAAATTGATTGTTTGAGACTCATCAGGCAAATAAAATTTATTTAAAAATTATTAAAAATTATTTGAAAGGAGCAAAGCAAAAAAATAGTTTTCTTAACTAACGAAGTACACAATTTTTTATTATATCTTTAAAACTGTTGATCTTTTCTATTTTTTTTTTAATTTGAAAATTAAAATTTGAGTATGTGCGTGGGTAGGTATCAAATTGGGTAAGGAAATTACTACATTTTATAATAATGCGATATTCAGGTTTTATTGAGAGGCTGATTACAAAAATTTGGTTCCTCAAGTAGCCATGAAAAAAAAAAATATTTCAGACTTACTTCTTAACCAAAAGGGGCTAATTTAAGACAATTTCAAAATTATTAGTTTTTCCTGGCCAACGAAGTAGACAAATTTATCTGGGAACAATTTCAGTCAAAGCTGTATGAAATTGATTGTTTGAGACTCATCAGGTAAATAAAATTGATTTAAAAATTAATAAAAATCATTTGAAAGAAGCGAAGTAAACAAATTTAGTTTACTTAACTGGCGAAGTACACATTTTTTTATTTTATCTTAAAACAGTTGATCGTTTCTTTTTTTTTTTTAATTTGAAAATTAAAATTTGAATATGTGCGTGGGTAGGTATCAAATTGGGTAAAGAAATTAGTACATTTTATAATAATGCGATATTCAGGTTTTATTGAGAGGCAGATTACAAAAATTTGGTTACTCAAGTAGCCATGAAAAAAAAATTATTTCAGACTTACTTATTAACAAAAGTTGCTAATTTAAGACAATTTCACACCATCTTGCAAATTACCAAACGTTTAAAAAAGCCAAGAACCCATTAACGTCTTCACATCTCGGCCATAACCTGTCGACTGAGAGAAATTTACCACTTACTGTCTGGTAAATTTTTAGTCACACTTGAGAACTTAAATTAACGAAAAACTTCTGTTTTAATTACGGAAACTTATTAAAATTAATATTCAGGTAGCTCGTAAATTGGCCATGGTTGAAGCCGACTTGGAGAGAGCCGAAGAACGTGCCGAAGCCGGAGAATCGTAGGTTTCTAGATTGTTGTGTTGCGTTTCAATGTGGCATGAAAACATTTACAGTGATTCCAATTGGCCGTCTTTTTTTGTTTTTTTAAACTAATTACTAACCCGTTTTTAAGTTAGCTAGTTTATTCAATAATGTATACTAAAAATCGAGGAAAAGTGATTCAAATAAATGAAATTTTAATCACTTTTCTCGTTTTGAGTTTTATATTTTTTTATTTTCGTTAATGTTTTGCATGTGTGTGTCGTTTGCTAGGTTGCCAGAAAATTGGTCCTTATGGAACAAGATTTAGAGCGAGCCGAAGAAAGGGCCGAACAAAGTGAAAGGTAGGGTGGCTATGCTTTTTAATTATGATTAAAGTTGAAGAGAAGAATTTCTACTGACATTTTTTTCTGATTGCAGCAAAATCGTAGAACTTGAGGAGGAACTCCGCGTCGTTGGTAACAACTTGAAATCCCTTGAAGTGTCTGAAGAAAAGGTACTTTATTTTCACCAATTTTGTTAAAATTTTTATTTTACAATATCAATTATTCGATTTAATCATAGGCCAACCAACGCGAAGAGGAATACAAAAATCAAATTAAGAACTTGACCACTCGCCTAAAGGAGGTACCGACATGTTTGGAGTTTTTCTCCTTTGTCTAACCCCTTTAGTGTGTGTTTTTTTATATAATTTGGCATGTTCAACCACAAACGCAAACTAGAAAATCTAGTTCGCTTTTGTGTCATAATTGTGTGTGTTTTTTTTACTAAATGTTGTATTAACACAGGCGACGTTAAAAGAGGAAGAATATTCGGTGACGCTCAAACAGGTGGAACAACGATTAGCAGAGGTAAAGTGGATGAAGGCAACAGAAATGTACAACTGGCATTAGCAAAGCGCTCCTTCCTGTTATATGTATTTTTTTGTATATAGTTGGTGATCTTGGGGGCTCGTCTCGACTTGTATTTTTTGTCTTGTTATTTCTTTGTATATTTATTGATGCATGTGTTGTGTGCAGGCGGCTGTTACCAGAGAACATAGCGAGGATAAAATCCGTTCCATTTCTGATAAGCTGCGTGAAGTAAGTTCAGTAATAAAAACGTTTTCACAAGAATTATATTTTTTGGTTGGCATTATGGTGGGAATTTAAATTCATTTGATAAACTTTAGAAAAGTGTGTTAGGTACTTAAAATAACAATCTGGATGGATTTTTGTAACGAGCGTAGCGAAAGAGGGAAAAAATTTAATGAATTCTCATCATATACAAAAATTTTCTATTGACAGATAATTAAACAAAGTTTAATATTTTGAAATGTGATTACGCAGTCACAAACTTTAACATTGGAAAATATTTTAATTATAATTTATTAGAAAATCTCTTTGGAATTATATTTTCCGTATTGTCTGTGATTTTAAACAAAATGAGTCAGAAGATATGTGTATTCTCAATTTAACTCTTTTTTATTAAAATAAGAAACAACTTGTGGCCAAAATAAGATATAGAACGTTTCAAAATGATTGACATCTCGGTAGGTGTTGAGAATGTAGATCAGACTAATTTTAGTTCCAAAAAAGTTGCTGATGTAAATATTCTTTAGGATCACGATACTTTATAAAAAAAATTGACATTTCAGTTAACGTGAAACAGAAAGAAAAATAGGAGAGAAAATGCACAAGAATCTCTTAAAAACGACAAATGTAACAAATTGTGTAATAGACATATCTTCAACTAGTGGCTGCAATCGTACAAAGTCGAAGTATCAATGTTGACAACTTAAATTTGAATTTCTATGACCTACCGAGAAGTCAAACATTTTAAAAACACTCTTTAGCTAAAATTGAAAAACAAAAATTTTGTAAAATGTGTGTTTTGAAAAGTGTGTTAGGTACTTGAAATAACAATCTGGATGGATTTTTGTAACGAGCGTAGCGAAAGAGGGAAAAAATTTAATGGATTTTCATCATACACAAACATTTTCTATTGACAGATAATTAAACAAAGTTTAATATTTTGAAATGTGATTACGCAGTCACACTTTAACATTGGAAAATATTTCAATTATAATTTATTAGTAGAAAATCTCTTTGAAATTATATTTTCCGTATTGTCTGTGATTTTAAACAAAAAGAGACAGAATATATGTGTATTCTCAAATCATATCTTCTTCATAGTCTACATTGATCAGAAATTTAACTCTTTTTTTTATTAAAATAAGAAACAACTGGCCAAAATAAGATATAGAACATTTCAAAATGATTGACATCTCAGTAGGCGTTGAGAAGTAAATCAGTATTTAGGATCACGATACTTTATAAAAAAATGACATTTCAGTTAAATTCTGTCAGGAAAAATAATCTATTTTTCGAAAAGAAATATACATGTTTTGGTTATGGTTTCGATGAATATTGAAGAAACGTGAAACAGAAAGAAAAATAGGAGAGAAAAAATGCACAAGAACCTCGTAAAAATGACAAATGTAACAAGTTCAACTGGTGGCTGTCGAAGTATCAGTGTTGCCAACTTAAATTTGAATTTCCATGACCCACCGAGATGTCAATCATTTTGAAACGCTCTATAGTTCAAATTGAAAAAAAAGAATTTTGTATTTTTAAAGGATTACACAAATGATTTTATACTTTTTTTATTTCTTCTTGTTGACAATTTTTGAAATTTACACTGCTGTCAACTTTATAAAATCTACTTTTAAGTGAGTGTTTTAATAGTAGTTTTAACACAAGTATTAGAATTTCAAAAGTTGATCAATCATCATTAAGTGCCAACATATCAAAATCAAATCCTTCGTATCATTTAATGATTTCAAAATTCTTTATTTACTGAACTGCTCTAAAATTAGTATGGTTTAGTAGTGATTGCTTTTACTCTCTTATCAATCATCATTGCTTTTCACTTTCAAATTTCTTTCGCACTCAGGGGCTTTCCGCTTTTCCTAAATCTGATTTTTAGATTTGTGATAAGGTGGGGGTACTATAAAATCAATCTGCATTACTTGTAAGTACCATTGCATGTTTTAACGGAGTGCTTTTTTCCCCACTTACTACACCCGATTCATTTATATTTTGTTCGAACGAAACTGGGAGTAATCTTAGTTTCGTTACAAAATTGAAACTAATTTATTATGTTTCTGTAGGCTGAAGCTCGTGCTGAGTTTGCTGAACGTTCCGTACAGAAACTGCAGAAGGAGGTCGATAGACTAGAAGGTGCGTATCGCTTGAATACTAACCTCGTTTATCCCCCTTTTTTTTGTTTTTTTTTTTTGTGTTTGCCATTAACGCCTTAACTTGCAGACGACCTCTTGGCCGAAAAGGAAAAGAACAAACTGTTATCTGACGAGATGGAAGCTACATTGCATGATATCCAAAATATGTAAACCAATTCAGTACTACCAACATTCCTGCCTTGCATTCCCCTCCAAGAACAGTAGCATCGCTCGGCATTTTTTTGTTTTCCGGTGCTTATTGCAATTAAATTTAGTAGTGTGATGGCACAATAAGCACAGTAGATCAGGCATTTTTCATGTTGATCTCTCGGTTTGTGGCAATATGATCAACACTGCCCTGATTTTCAATATCAAAAATATCAATTTTTGTACATTTTCAAGTAGTCACTTCGTGTGGATGAAAGGATTTCATAATTAATCATTATGTATTATAATTAACTTTGTTTAAGAGCGGTTTTTGGGGTACAGGTAATCACGTGAAGTCCTTTCATTTACAGACGCTTTAAATCTTAATTTTTTACTGTAATGTTATTTCTTCTAGTATTATAAAGTAAATTTATATTTTAAAGTCTGTTTATATCTAATTGCGATGTAAGCTAATGAGTATATGATGAAAAATGTTTTTTTAAGTTGATTTTTGTTTTTATTTTTTCCTGCATGACGTAACCCGTTTCAGTGTGGATTAACCCGAGTCAATTTTGCGTTTTTGGACACACCATTGTCATTACTTTAACTTGCAGATGAGCTCGTCGCTGAAAAGGAGCGCTACAAGGAGATTGGCGACGATTTGGACACAGCTTTCGTCGAACTTATCTTGTAAAGAATTGGTCACTTTTTCTTCCAGCGACTCACAATTTATCTTTTCTTTTATTTTGGTAATTGTGTTACGTGTTGTATATACAGTAAACAAAATATATTGAGTTACTGATCATTTCTTATTCATTTTAACGTCTCCACTAACGGTACTAACATTTCCAGATGAACTTGTCGACGAGAAGACCAAATACAAAGCGATCGCCGATGAGATGGACCAAACTATGGCCGATTTGGCTGGATATTAGTCTGTTTTTTTCGACAAACTGCCGCTGAAACTGCCTAAATTCAATTAAGATGATAAATGCGTGCTCAACTCTTATCATCTCTCGCTTGGTGTTGGACTGCAACCAACTGGCTTTTGTGGTGTCCTTTCAATGCACTTATTTAGGAAATTTTCAGCAGCTCTTCATTTAGCTTGTAGTTCTCTTGGTTTTTCCAAATGTTACCACTTTGTTGCTAGGGCCAGTCGACAAGATTTTAATATTCATATTTTTATTAACAATAAATCATTTTGGGATGAGTTTGTTTCTTTTCAATGGACTTCTCGTCGGAATTGCTTGTATTTTGAAGCTAATTGTGGCTTTATTTTGCATAAATGGAAAACGTAAATTTGTTAGTTTTTGACGAAATTTTTTACTATTATCCTTGAAACTTGCCAACTTGTAGAAAATTGGATTTTATTTTGAAGAACGTCAGTTAAATAATGAAAAAATTGAATATACAGCGTGACTCAACTTAGACTTGGTTATTGATCAAAAAAATCAATACACGAGGGTTGAACCACTGCTAGATAATAAACAGTTATTTTTCATTACATCTCAACTTAAGAAAGTTTCCTACAATTTTTTTTCTGTAATTGGGAGAGTAACTAAACAGTTTGGGTAATGGCTAGTACGATTTTTTTGAACCACCGGGTGGTTGTAATTATTCGAGGTTTCCAAATTTTTTTGGGTTTAAAAATCTGACCAATCCGCCCCTAATTGTTGTCAGGGCCGTACCCAAGGGGGGGATTAGGGGTTCAAACCCTCCCCCCGAAATGCTGAGCACTTTGTATAGTGTTATAAGTGTTAAAATTTAGTTTTTTTTTATTTTAGTGAGTTAATTTTAAATTTTTGTGAATTAATTTTTCATGTGTTAATTATACAGTGTTTCATTTTTATTGTTAGGTACAAATTTAAATAGTTGATAGAATATTTAATTTTAAGACAAAAGTATTTCGTAAAATGTTATGAAAGCAGGGCCGTAACCAGGATTTTATTTCGGGGGGGGGTACACGTTTTTATTTTTAATTAAAATAAGAGATCCTAATTAAACATAAAAAAATACAAATTAACTCACAAAAGTAACAAAAAATAAAATAGATTTTTAATACTTTTTATTGTTACAAATTTAAATGGGAGCTAGAATATTCATTTTTAAAACAAAAGTTTTCTATGAACATAGTATATCGAAAAACGCTATACGCAAGGGGTGCGTCTTTTAATACGTTTTTTTTTTCAATATTTCCGAAATCATTTTAGAAAAAAGTTTCAAAATTTGCTACAGATGATGACTTTTATACACTTAAACAAGTACAAAAATAAAATGTTGAAATTTTTAATTAGGTGCTTCCTAAACTAGGAAGGGATTAGGGTAAAAATTTACTCTAACTGTTTTGTCTGTGGTTTCTTGCCACTTTCAGCAACAAAATTTCATAGTTTTTGATAAAAAAAAGGTCTTTTGTGTTTTTCCGATACAATTTACGGATTTTTAGTAAAAATCGGTTTAAAAAATTATGTTACAGACCATAAAAATTAAAAATTAAATTTGGTTTACCGTCTAGGACGCCCCTGATTAAAAATTTTGTTATTTGGCATTTGTTTGGGTGTACATATAAAGGTACCAAATTTTGTAATTTTATCTATTCTATAATATTAGGAAAAACCCTTTAAAAAACGTACCTTTTTTAGGGGGTGTAGCTCCTTTTCATAGCATTTTTCAAAACACTTTTATCTTAAAATTAAATATTCTATTAACTATTTAAATTTGTACCTAACAATAAAAATGAAACACTGTATAATTAACACATGACAAATTAATTCACAA